CCGATTGAATTTTAAGATGAAGTTTTGTGAGCATAACTACACTTCATGTAGAACAAGCTCAAAAACTTTCTTAAAAAAAGCTCCACCGAGAACCACCTCAAATCACAACGGCCAAGAAATCATGACCTGAAGTATATGAAATAGTTTTTTTTAATGGGGGCCTACAAAATTGGTGCCCTATGCACTTGCCTATGTTCCTAGGCCTTATGGTCGGTTCTGGTTGTTGTTAGGTATGGTTTTCTATTTATACGGGTGTGGGTGGTGTTATTCTTATTAGGCTACATGTCTTATCTCAAGTGCTCAAAAAATTCAAAAAAAATGCACCTCATCAAGGCGACATCGAGGACATCTTTATTTTTTGTTTCCAGTCACCCTCGTCACCGGAGAGTCCACCGGAAAAGTGGTATTAGTGAATTTGTTTTTAAAAAATAATCCAAAAAGATCCAAAAAATATAAAGAGGAAGATGGTTTGGAGGTTTCCTTGACGAGATGCACCTCCCAGTACTTTTATTTTAATTCTTTTGGATATATATTTTTTAAAACTGGAGTTACTGTTCATCATCTTCCTCTAACCATTTCTAACGGCGTTAGCGTAAGGCCCCTCCTATGATAACGGAATTGAAACACATGACCTACTAGAAATGAAAAGTATGATCCTATTTGAAAACAGGTTCAACCACAATTACCTTTTCCTTACTTTTCCCTAATATAAGTACGATAAAAAACAAACAATTGTTATAATAAAAAGTTAAGCCAAAGAATGCAAACCATGTAGGGTCACGAATCACGATTATTAACATATCGATTTAACCGTCTTCAAAAGTATAAGTTTGTAAGGTTAATTTGTTTAAATGGGATGGAATAATTTCAGTCATAATGTTTTTTTAGTAATGGAATAAAAGTACTTTTTTATTTGGGTTTTTTTACAAGATGATGAAGATGGGATAAGTAAGCAATCATACTCTTGAGGGATTCATTCGCCGAAAATGTAAGAATTGTATCTTTATTATCTTTTTTACGAAGCAAAAGCCTAAATTAGTTGGGAGTTGTTTCTTTCATCTTCTTTTTTAGTACCGGTTGAAGAATTGAATTTTTGACTTCCTTGTAAAGATGGTTGCGGCGTCTTGAACACATTGCCTTAAAAGTAGATGGATTATATTATGTCACTCATGATGTTATTGCAATCTTGTAGAGAGTATAAACGTGTTTTGTGTTTACTTCACGGATTAGTAAATGTTGTTTATTTAAATATGTTTTACTAACTCATTATTTAATAAAAGGTTTTTAATAAATGTATGTTTACCTCACGAGACCAATGCACTTATTAAAACATGATTTAACTTGAAAATGTCAATTATAACATTCAAGAACTTTACCGGTTTACCCCCTCCTTACTATCACTCCCAAATCCCACTGCAACCACTTTAGCCCAACCCCACCACCCAACTGAACCAAGGGGGTAGGAAGTAGCTAGGTGGAGTGAGGATAGGAAGGGGTAGAGGGTAGAGGACTAGAGGGCAAGGGAAGCGCGTATGGGGTAGGACATTGTGGCCTTGTGGGGGTAGGGTGGGGATTGTGGGTATGAGTGGGAACAGGGGTAGTAGTGGAACTGTGGAAGGGGTTAAGGGGATGGGGAACATGATTGGTCGTGGGGGTAAGAAGTTGGTAGGGGTGGGTTAGGTACGTAGTAGTGATGATGGGGGTAAGGTAATGTTGGATAGAGGTAGGGGTGCTCAAGTGATACAAAGAGGGTATACTTGTCAATATAAAAAAATTAACATATTGCTTAGTAAAATACGGAGTACGTAACTGAATAAGGAATCGATTCAACGCTTACTAAGCAACACTATAAAACATAAAAGGTGATTACTACGCAGACATTTATTCAAAAAGAAAAATTGCTTCATTAATAAGTTAAAGGTGAAAGTAACAATGAAGTAAACATGTATGTCATGTATTGACACTCGCTTTTACTACATTCGTTCCTATTATAACTTCCAAATAGGTTTGTCACATAATTTAAGACAGTGGGTATTGTGTGGTGGAGAGTTGTGGAGAGGAGAGAGAAATGTGTAAGAAATGTTGTGAAGCACAAATTCTTACCAAAAAGGGAAAGTGGAAGTTTTAATTGCAACGGATGAAAAAGGAAAATTAGAAGTTATAATAGGAATGAAGAGAGTAACATAGTCGCATTAATAAGTAAGAATGTGAAAGCATTTTTTGCCTGTATTTTTCGTTATGTATTGGATGTTGAAAAGTTATGAAGTTATATATTTTTATAACATGCACTAAGTAATCAAGTATTCCAGCTCAGCTGGTTGGGAGGTTACCGTGCCTAGTGGAATGTCTCGAGTTCGAAACTCACTAGGCACATAAGGGTTTAAAAACTCAGTGGAGTGAGTTTTAGTCATAATTACTCCAGGCCCCCCAGACCCCCTCCCCTAGACCCCCCTGGAGAAAAAAAATACTCCGTAAATGAATAAAAATACTCCCTCCTTCCCATTGAATTTTGTCAACTTTCCCTTTTTAGTTGTCCCAAAAAACATTGTCACTTTCATATTAAAGCAACCAATTTGTGGTTCTGCACATTTCTCTCTCCTCTGCACAAATCTCAACCACACAATTTTACTATTCTTATTTCTCACCTACTTTGCAATTGGCAAACTCCACCGGGACGGAGGTAGTAAAAAATAAAAAATAAAAAAATAACATGCACCAAGTGAATGTCACGTGAAAATTCTACGGAAACCCTTATTGCGTATCAAGCCTACTTATTGTGTATTCATTACAATATTTATTACAGTAAAAAAAATGGAGGGATCTTGAAATATGAAGCAATTAAAACTTGTAATTAAATGATTTAAACATATATAAGTGATGAAATAATGACTTGAATTAATCAAATGATAGTTAGAGTACTCTCATTTTTTATTGATACCATAACCTTTTACTTTGTTCTTAAAAAGTACGTGTGTACTTTGTATTAAATATTAATTAAGCAAAACTAAGGAACAATGAAATCTGACCGAAAGAAACTTTATTCTAAAAAACAGCACCATGTGAATAACATCACATTTTAAGATAGCAAGATGGGTGGATAAAAAATAGGGCTTTTGCCTTTAGTTTATAATTTAAAAAATATATAGTCCCTCTGTCCCATAAAATAAGTCTCATTTTCTTTTTTGGGTCGTCCCAAAAAATTGTTCTCATTTCCCATTTTGGAAAGTTTTGTGTGGCTAACATTCATTTACCTTTTTCTTACTCAACCACAACCATACATTTCCACTTTATTCTCACTTTCTTAAATTCCGATCCAAGTCAAAGTGGGACTAATTTTCCGGGACGGAGGGAGTATGTTTTTTGTTTATTTTTTTACTTATTACGTAGTACTTTTTCATGTTTTCTTTTAATAGCAAAGATCAATATCTCTTCTAAAGACGAAAATATCATCGTATTCAATCACATTAAGTGATTGAAGAATAAAGCAAAATCGTTCATTAAACTGTCTGCGCTTCTTTGTTATGAAGCATCAGTCAGTCCATGCAAATTTCGACTCGATTTTCACTATGGGTCATCGGGAATCTGTCTCTATTTGCTTTAGTACATGGGTAAGATTGCGCATATTCGATCGCATTCCCTTACCTCATCAAAGGTGGGAGCCTTTGCGCCTTTTGCGGCACTGGAGTGATGATGATGATTCAATCACATTAAGTTTTGTACATGCATAAATTCATTTAATGTGAATTTATCTTTTGGTATGATTTGTGTAATATAATGTGAACTCTTGTTTTATGTTTTGAGTAATCTATAATGTGAAGCATCAATGCAACATTTAAAATATAGCCACGAGCCCGTCAGATGGACTTGCTAAGTACTCCGTATATAAGTATATTTTTGAAAGGATGTACACAGCACGAAAACTCTTGGGAATCAATATGCTTTTGTTTTGAAAATTGTACGGAAACTCTACAAACACATACTCCCTCCGTCCCTTAAAATTTTGTCATCTTTCCTTTTTGGGATGTCCCAAAAAACTTTGTCACTTTCCCTTTTAATCAATTATTTGTGGTTTATGTTATTTCTCTCTCCTCTGCACAAACCTCAACCACACAGTTTTTATTTTATTATTCTCCGTGCCGGTCAACTTTGGCAAAGTTTTAAGGGACGGAGGTAGTATTTTCTATTAAATGTTGGCGCTTCCCATTTCAAGAGAAGGAAATACAAGAGTTTCTATGATATACAAAATCCATACTAACTACTATTGTTATTACTCCCCCCATTTCTAAATAAACTTCACACTTTGACTTCACACAAATTACGGGAAAAAATTTGACTTTACTGTAGAGTACACTATTGTGACACATTTTGGCACTGTTTGACACTGTTTTGCACTGTTTTGATGTAGATAATTTGCCAAATAAGGAAGGGAGAAGAAGTGTGGAGTTTATTTTGGACCTACCCAAAATGGAAAGTGCGATGCTTATTTAGGACCGGAGAGAGTATTTCTTAACAATCACTCTCAAAATGGGCAGGGGCAGAACCTCGGGTATTGTACGTGGCCCAATTCTCCCACCCCTACACGTGACCCGAAACCAGCTGATCCAAGGCCACGGCTGGTCCTACATTCAAAGACATTGTCTCAATCCGAAAATTAATTGAGCTACTAGTGCAGGACTGCAGGTTAGTTATTGTTTCAGTGCATTAGGTATGCTGAACTATGTTGCAGAAAATTTGAAGGACATCAAAAACATTTTCTTTAAATAGAAACCAAATATCTAAAATGTTATGCATAGATCACTAGAGACAGTCTCCCAAAAGCATTTGGGCAAATGGTTTTCAACTACTAGGACTGGACTACTAAGGCCCGCCCACATACAAATGTAAGTGTACTTTTGCAAGTATAAGTAATGTTTGACCAGAGCACGTTTGATACAGCTTAATTGATTGATATGATTGAATTTGTTGATTTGTTAAAATAAAAGCATTTAACAAATTTCTTCTTTAACCAAATAGGTAAATCAAAAGGAATTTATTTTGATAACTTTACGTGTTCTGGTAATAAGTAGAACATGCCACTTTTAACAAGCAATGGAACCCATCTTTCTTGATGAGCAGCAGCCAGACACTGTAGAGGAATCCAATAAAAAAATGACATGCCTTTTTTGGACACTATACTTGAATGTCTAATATCATCTTTCAGGGAAGATAGAAAGGTGTTGAGAACAACAAAACTGCTTATTAAAGGGATATCAAGAACCCATCTTTCTTGATGTCACTCTGCCAGTATGGAAAAAGTAACACACTAAATCTAGCACCAGTTTGCAGGCTCACTTTTACACAATCTAATTGAGCATGACTTAATCTTAACCACAAAAAGTCATCTTTCTGGTTGAGAAGTGGAGGGTTCATTCTCTTGCAAATGTTTGCTCTTCTCCAGATTTTGGGTGGCTTTTTTCTTCTCCGCTTCAATTTGTTGGAGCAAAGCCTGCCTGTGCATTTCCGCCATCATATCTGTCATTGTAGTTGCCTCCCTTTCCAGCTGCATATCCATTATAATCTCAGCTTCTTTTTCAATTGGCTTAAAATACTCATTAATTTGACTTTCCTGCAAATGATGAATGGTTAGCTCAGACAAGAAATAGAGCGGATGACTTGACCAATAACTACAGGAGGAAAAAAGAGAGAAGTCAGAGAACAATGAAGAAAAGGGTAAAACTGGAAAAATGAAGTGCTAAATTGCTTATTAACACAGTTCCTAATAATAATAAAACAGTCCACCAGTTTACTTTTCTGCAAGGCCTGCCTAACACCTACAGGTCATCCAAGGATTAAACTAAAGGTCTGTTTGGATGGAGGGGTACAGTTTTGGAGTGGAAGGCTGTGGAGGGCTTAGTCTATAACCTGATGAATAAAATGTTTCTAAAATGAACAAAATCGTATTCAAATGTAATATAATAACTTGTTATGTTAATCTTTCAATTTTTAAAAAAACTCAAATGTATGTATACACGGAGTATAATATATACAGCCGGTCCACTACCCAAAAGACCATAAGGTTCCCATAAACCAATTCCTATTCACTTGAACCATTTCCGATTCACTTAGCATACAGGGAATCCAGCTCAGTCTTCAAAAATTGATAATCAAGTTATGCATGACCACCTCAGTGACCTCACATCACATTCCTACGTGAAACAAGTCGAGTCAAGTAGAAATTGACTGAACATTTCAGCATACCAAAAAAAATAATACAAATCAGAGAAATCACATAGATGGTTGATCTAGTAGATCTTACACTTCTCTCACATATTTACCCACATGGAACCAACCTCCCACTATCTCTCTCAAGAACTGTGACAACACTGCCCCTTGTTGGGTTGGGGGATTTTACATGGGAGGGAGAAAACGGGTGATATCTGCTTTACAAATTTACCCCTATATTAGCTGGTTGGAAGGGCAGTGAAACTGAGGAGTTATAAAGGAATGCCTGATTTAACAGATGAGATGGCTGCTTTTTGTCATGTAACACTAACAAATAAGGGTAAATTAGTAAAACATACGACCATGCCAACCCACCCCCTCCGCTCCAAAATCTACCAGCAAAACAAAGCCTGAAGGTCTGCAACTTTCCTTTTCTAGAGAGTAGAAACCTATAGATCTCAATAAATAAATTAGCTTCCACTAAATATAACCCTGTGGGACCATGCGTAAAATAACTTGCCACGCTCGAACAAGGAATTTCATATTTTTTGAAGTGAAATATTAAACATCATATTAACTGCTGGAAATGTATGAATAAACTTATTTAGTAGAGTGTTAATTTGGTCGCCTTTCACTTCCTATTTCTCTACAGAGGAATGCTTCCCACCTCCTTAATAAGTCAAAGTGAAATAAACACTCCTTTGCTCCAACCATCTGCCTATCAAAGAAGTATCCAAGTGTTAAGAGTTCTAAGATGCTTTTTCTTTATAAATATCATTGTTTATATAATCCTATTAGATATAATTTTCTTTCATTTCTCTTCTATTTTAGGTTTCATGTGTGGGACACATAATCTAGTCGTTTATAGATAGGCACGGGTAATGTTGTGAAGAATGACTCTACAATTTAGTTCACTAATCTCTCACATTACAACTATGGCCCTTTCCATAGAATATATTAATCGCAACTCAAGAGGAAGAACTCTTAATAGGCCGCAAATCATACATGTCTAGAAAAGCTCTACTTATTTTGCATGACAGCCAATATCATGTAACGAACATGATAGACCTACTGGCATCATATATTGTTTATGCCCATCGTGGGCTAACTATCATGGTATACTTAGAGGCTATGCGATTGAGTTTACAGCATCAAGGTTTATTCTTCTGAGTCTTGATGCAATTCTTGGGGTAACTATTATCGAGTGAATAGTAATAAGAGAAAAGTCAGAACTTACAGTTTCCTCTAGCTTCTTATTCAAAGCTTGCATCTCTTCCACCATATTACGGACCTCTGATAAAATTATTTGTTCTGGCACTCTCCTTATTGCAGCCTTCTTCTCTTCCGTCTATGACCAAACAAGATCATAATGAAAATACAGGCAAAGAAACACTTAAATAATGTGTCATATTTTAACACCAATATTTTCATTTGTGAAATATATACATATACACACGGAAGAAAAGAGGAATAACTGTGAGTTCGTAAGATATTAAAAAACTATGAGTATAACCCTTTGAAAGTGTAATTTCTATCAAGCTCTACTCAACCATAAGCCATTTTTTTTTAGAACAGCTTTAAAGCACTTCCTGACTTTTTAAAATCCAAACAGAGACACATTAACCCCATGTGAATGATATAGTAAAAATACAAGAACAACCAAAGATTGAAACCCATGGCCATTGAGTCTGGTCACTAGTGTAAATTAACATTTAACCGTCCTGATTACTAAAGAATGTGGTACCTCTGCTCAATTTTGGTTGTTCCATTAATATATTACAGATCGGCCAAGCCAAGTAAAGCTGAAGGTTTCTTTAAAATACCAATTAGGCATATTCTGTACAATAAAAATAAAACACATTTACACTTCACTCAAAAGGGCCTAGAATTTCTAGTTTTCATTCTCCTCCCTCCAAAGTTGATTTCATTTTCCACTCAAACCAGCATTTTCTATTTTAACCTTACAGACCAAGAAACAGAACCAAAAGTGAAATCCGAAAGATACAACACTCACCAACGATAATTGGGGAAACGCAAACAGTTTTATTATAGAAAAACTGAAGAACTTTTCTACGCAATGAAAAACAGCTATTCATCAAGACCAATCAAATTAAACTACATTTCATCAAATATATGGTTCTTGCGAAAAGGATATGTAACCTGCTGAAGACGCTGCTGAAGCTGTAACCGATAAGACCGAATTCTTCGCTCTTCGTAGCCGGACAGAACCCTGACGTAGAATAAAGCTTTTCTCCCGAGCTCAATTAGCCTCTTCATTGTAGAAGACTATTCCCAGACTCAATCAATCACAACTCATCCTCAAATCTGATCTAATTAGAATAAATCAAATGAGTAGCTTCGAGTATCAGATTTCTGAAATGAATCTCACTGTCCCTCATTCCACATGAGGGTACGGGTCCTTTGTACAGTAACTTTACCCTCTTCAGAATTAGTTTGTGTTTAGAAGGAAACAAACTTAACGAATTTAACAGAGAAATATCTATATATCTATATATAATTATATATAGTAAAACGGAAAAGTGTGGAGGAATTTTGGGAGGGATTTTGGGAGGGATAGTGTGTAATGAATGTAGCACGAGTGAAAAAACGTTTGGTTGCAATGATGTATTTCCATTTATCTAGGTCTTGGATGAATCAAAAGGCTGCTAGGTTTAAATATTATGTCTTGAGCTTCTCAAAGCATTTAATTGCATTAGCCTTTTGGATTCACCGAGATGTGTACATCTTTTTCCATAGCATTAGTAATTAATTTTTGTGTTCTTTGTTATACGGAGTATATATTTTTCTCCCCTAGGTTGTGCTTCTCGAAGTACATGCAGACAGAGTGTAAACAATTTAAACTAATTAATTGTCTTCTCAAGGTTCAAGAATTAATGCAATTAAATATGGAGTGAGGCTTGGAGGCCATTTTGAAGTATTCTTCTAGACTCTGAACATGTTCTCAATGTGGAATACTTCAATTAAAAACTCTTCCAATCTTGATAGCGGCTTGATTAGGTGTCCAATGTAGCCTTGGACGAATAAATATTGTGGATGCATTTCAATTAAAGGCTACATAATAAACCTTGACTTTTTGAATTTCATTGCTGCCTATATAAAAAGTCTATACTCACATCTACCATCACATGGATCTTTAGTCAAGTTTCATGTCCGCCTTCAAACGCCTGCACAAAAAAAGAAAAACAATTCCACTCAAGCAAGAGCTTCTTCAGAATAAATTGTAGCAACCACTTGAATGGAATTGTACACTCCATTTTAGATACACTCTGTTCAGGAAAATACAATTTATCCGGGATAGTCCATAAATTTCAATTAGAGTACTTCTACGGTTGTCAAAGTTGACTCATTTCCAATGGGTGTAGGTGAGACTTAAGAGAAGGTATGTACCTTTTAACTTTAAACAAAAGTAAATTAAGTAAACGAAGAAAATTGAGCATTTTACTTTTAACATTCCATACTCTGCATGTACACGTTTTCTGAACATTTCATACTTCCTATTAAGAATAGTAAGCATCAAAGGTTTTATAACACATTTTATAACATCTTTAAATTACTACTTGGAGTTTGCTAGATGGTTTAACAATCACTGGTAAGTGTAATATTTAGCTTCGAACAATCTTAAGCATCAAGATTATATAACATTTTATAACATATTTAAATTACTACTTGCAGATTGCTAGATGGATCATTAGCAATCACTGATAAGTGTAATTTTTAGCTTCAAACATTTTAAGGTAGAGTGTTATCTCTACCAGTAACTGTCCTGATAAGAAGCATTATCTAACAGCTAAAGATGACCAACAGATAAGATAAGACAGAAGGTGACGAGTGATGAATAATCATCTCTACATTCATTTAAGCTTTGCATAATGAATGATTTCTTTAATATTTTCTTTTGTAGATTCTGTTGAAAATTTAAACAGTTTTAAGCCAATTGAGAGTATATTGAGGTTAGTTTCTTAATGAATCTTAAAAATGTGCTTTGGTCAATTGGACATTTAAAAAAAATTACTTCAACAAATTGTAATTGAAAAAAAAAAACTTATCTTAAATTAATAACTTAGATTTCTTATATAAAAATTGTAGAACTTATTTTACGTATTAAATTTGTAATAATCCAAAATACGTAGTAGAGAAACTAGGAGAATTTTATACTTTTTTCAGCATCATTTTGTGATCAAATTTGACTACTTCCATAAGACCATAATGGGTTATGCGGTTATGCCCATAATTTTAGGAATAGTTTGGACTAATTCCAACATCACTTGCTCTACCTCAATCCCGAGATAGTATGATAAGAGACCCAAATTATTCATCTCAAACTCCTTGCTTATATTTGCCTTCAACACTACTGCTGGTACTTAAGTTTCATATTACTGGGTACATAAATTGAAAGGTACATAAAGCTTAGATTATGAAAACAAATTCCACATAAATTGGGTTCTTTAACAAAATACGAATCAAAGAAAATAAGAATATAAAATTATACTGAGTCCAATTATTTTCTAACAAAAATAAAAACCTCTCAAAAAATAAATATACAAAACGCCCACTTTTAGGCTAACAGATTTCTAGAGTGATTTTTGACTGGCAGAGTGGCAAGTTTTCTGAAAATAAAAACATTCATAAATTTCTGCCATTTTGGGATCTTAGGTAAAGATTTGTTATCTTATATTTTTCTGAATGGTTCTGGTGACGCGTGTGGGAAAATCAAAATGAGTTTCTCGGTTTTCTTAGGTTTCAACATACAACGATATTACTAATTTAAGTGTTTAACTAAATATTTATAAAAAACTATGAACTAAATTATTATTGAGCTAATCAATAAAAGAGGACTGAAGAAATACCGGGACTACGAATGGGTGGAAGTGAAAATTGAGGGAAGCGCCGATTGGCTGAGCCGCTGAAGGTTGAGTGGCGGAGAGCAGGCGGCTGAGCGACGGGCGTGATGTGAGTAGGTGACGACTGAAGAGCTGAGGCGTGCTACGGTGCTGGCTGAGTGGCGCTGCTGATGTGATGCGTGTTGGCGTCTGATGGAGGATGAAACCGCGAAGAGAATCGGCGACTTGACGGAGGTTCAACCGTTTTTGGATGATAGATCACAGATGTTGATGGATCTAGACTCCAGAGATGTTTGCTCGGCTTCCTCAAGCCTTTAATTAATATTGGACCTTTGGTTGGTTGGACAAGAATATTGGGCCTAATTTTTTTAATTAATTTTGGGGCCTAAAAACTATCTACTTGTTTCTCAAGGTTGCCGGTGAAACTGAGTTCTAAAAACTATTTCTACTTCGGAGTTTAGGGGAGATCATGAACTGATGAAGAGTCATATATCTGTAAAAAAATCAAAATTACGAAACATAAATCAATTAGTGAAATACGGGAAGGAAGGGCTATATTAATCAGAAAGGTTTAGTTGATCGGTGCGCGCCTAGAGATGGACGGTGGTTTATTTATGTGATGTGAGAATGTGGAATATGTGTGTTTGGTAAAGAAAGAGGTATTGCGTGGATGAGAAATAAGAATAGTCGTGGAGAAAGAAAATGATATATTTGAATGTTCCTTTTTCTTATTTGAGTTAAAATTGTGTAATACGAATAGTGTATTTCAGATTTTTAACTCGAGTTAAACTAAAATAAGATTTCAAACTATTGATGTACGATCGATGTTTAATATTTTAAGAATGAAACTATAATCTTTATTTTAAATCTTTATTATAATTTAAAGTGTGCAGTAAGGTTTCATATACTTCTAACTGTATTAAAATAAAATAATGAGTTTGAAATAATATGCATTTTTAGTGAATGATGTGAGAGTTGTAACAAAGGAAATTATAGTTCTAGCATAAAAAATATACTACCTCCGTCCCTTAAAACTTTGCCAAGTTTGACCGGCACGAAGATTAATAAAGTAAAAACTATGAGTTAGAGATTTGTGCAGAGGAGAGAGAATTAACTGGAACCACAAATTTTTTACTTAAAGAGGAAAGTGACAAAGTTAGTGGGACATCCAAAAAAGGAAAGTTGACAAAGTTTTAAGGGAAGGAGGAAGTATAAAATAGTATCATTACATAGCCCAATAGTCTAAAACCCCAAACAAAAAAGATAACCCAATAGTCTTTGTTTTACTATAGTAGACTGATCACTTTGAAATCCTATAATACCTAAATCATATCAAAACAAACGAGATCATATTAGATTGGGTCTGACAAGAATTAGACAACATTAAGAACGTGTAGAAAGATATCTATAACACCACATAAAATTAAGATGTGGTGGGGATATGTCAACTTCGTGTCAAAAACATTTTGGCACAAGCTGTTTGGCACGAAATCACCGATCAATTCGTGTCAATGCCATAATTTTTTGTGGTGATCATATAAGATCATATAATTTCAAACCAATTAAAAACATCTTTAGTAAATATTAATAAAAAGTCCATATGCTAATCACATGTGCTATAATTTTTCTCAACTAAATAAGCAAGAAATTAATTTTTATGAATGACCACTATATCTTATAATCTCAAATCCAACAAGATAAATAATTTAATTTTTGAAACATAAAAAAAATTAAATAGCCGAAGGACGTATTAATATCTGCTCTGTGTTTTACTAAAGTCTCAAAAATGATATCCAAGAAAAAATAATAATGGAAAACAATAGAAGAAAATGTTGAGATTTAATGTGAGGATATTTTTAGCTTTAAAATGGAGGTTTACGAAAAGGAGATGAAACTCAAATCGGAATGAAGACGTTTCTCAAATGATATGGTATTATGTGGTCTAATTTCTAAGTAACTTCATCTCTATGATTATATTTTTCAGTGATAGGGTAATGCATTTCTTATTACATTTATTCAAATTTCAATCCATCTACTATATTGTACGGAGTGGCGGATCCCTTTTGTTCAAAGGGGTTCCTGTGAACACCCAAAAAAATGAAACTAAAATGTAAGAATACATCTATAAAATTGATATAACTTATAGTGTATTTTTAGATAACATCTCTTAAATTTAATCTTATTTACCACTTTTTTGTTGTTGAAAAGGTCACATGTATTAAATTGTTTTATCAAAGAATATTATTGTTCAATATTTCAATGATAAATTAGTTGTGAACATCCAACGTTTCATTCCAAAATCTGTCATTGATTGTACGAAGTATCTTTCAAGCTACTTAAATTTTAAAATGGTTTGGGTTCACAAAAAAGGCAAGAAGTAGAGAATATTTGGATTTTTAAAATTCTCACTTTGATTCATACTTACATCTGGTAATGGTAATTTATACTACATATTTATCAATATAATGATATACACTTACATTAGGTTGTTTATTTTTTTCATGTTAAGTAATTAATTTTACCTACTATCCGGACTATATAGACTGGATGGTATTGCCTCCGTTCCGAAAAGGTTGGTCAAATTTCTTTTTTTGGATGTCTCAAAAAGATTTGTCATTTCCATTTAAAGTAAGGAATATGTGCCTAAAATTAATTCTCTTTCCTCTGCACAAATTTCAACCACACAGTTTTTATTTTATTAATCCACGTGAAAGTCAACTTTAGTCATCCTTTTCGGGACGGAGAAGTATGATTTATTATTTTCTCTTTAATATTTTAAAATATCAACTTTTTTAATATATTCCCGTGCATCGCAAGGGTAATATGCTAGTTGGCATAAAAACAAAACTAAGAAAAAAAACTAGGCAAAATATGTAGAGCAATTTAAAAAATCTCAATTTTTTATATTGGTTCGATTCTTTAAATCTCCTACAAATCACTGTCAAATTTGTAACACATAAAAACATTTGAAATTATAAGAAATACCTATACATTCAAGATTACTATCATTTCAAACCTCAAAAATTATTTTCAGACATAAATACATAAAAAATAATAATGTTTTGTAAAGAATACAAAAAAGGACATTCACTACAAAAGGAATCGATTAATTACCTATCAAGTTATCAACTCTATTAAATAAACTAAATTAGTGAATTTACTCCCTCCATCCCAAAATTATTGTCCTGTTTGTTTTTCACATAAATTAAGAAAATGGCACTGCAGCAACACTGTTTGGCACTGTAGCAACACTGTTTGGCACTGTAGCGACATTGTTTTGCACTGTTTGACACTGTTTGACACTGTTTGGTGTAGATTTGCTTACCAAATAAGGAAGTTTTAGAAACGGGACAATTATTTCGGGACGGACCGAAAAGGAAAGCGGGACAATAATTTTGGGACGGAGGGAGTATTATATACTCCGTAAATAAATACTAAAATATATACACTAATAAGTACGGAGTAATAGATAAAAACTTAATTATTATATAACGGTTTATTAACGGTTCCACATACATATGATAGTATATTTTATAGGAACCGCGAATTGAATCATTAATAAAAAGTAGAAACCGAACCGTTAATAAATAACTAATTAATGTTGGAACCGAATTGAATCGGGTCATAGTGGTTCGGTCCGGCTCGGATTGCCGATTCTTGCTTCTGAAGTCCCACCCTTAAAAACACATTAGGATGAGAATCAGATTCATTTAAATATCATTCAGACGTATGTCTTTTTTGAAACATATAATTTCTCCTTGAAAAGTAATTGAATAATTAGACACGTTCATTTTATGTTTCCAGTTTGTCAATACATTTATGTGTGACATTGAAATTATTGTCATATAATATAAATTAAATTAAATAACAATATTAATATTATTACAAAAAACATACAATTTTCAAAAAGACGTGTTGATTATTCTAGTAATAGTATATTTTAGAAGCCGTTTGTTAACTCTGTTTTTCGACGTATTAGGTTTATCATCAAATTTTCACCAAACACATATTTTTTTATTTCTAGCATTCAATTGTGTAATAATAATAAAAAGTAAGCTTTAAGTTACTTTTCTGGTTGTATTGGCTGAAGTTACTGTAGAGGATCCTTTTAGCTAGTTTTCATATAACTTCTTTTTATTGATAAAATATATTTTAAATATTATTTTTTCATAAATCAACATAATTAGCCAATCCAGTCACTTCAGCTAGAACTTCATAAATTTCAACAGAACCAGCTGATTCAATCGATTTTGGTATTATCAAATGGGCTCTTGAGTAATGAGATCATAATGATAACTTTTCTATTTAAGCCTCAAAATATAAACAACAGATTCTGTCACAAAATCGATTAAAATGTCGGTATAATAAAAGTATAAATAGTACTAACTCCGTCCATATTTAAACTTGTTGATTTAAATATCATGCATTTTGTGAGAACATATTGTGTCCTGTAATTTCAAAAATATCTTTTATTATTGTGAGTACATTTACTGCACAGTATACTGTTTAATTGGCGTTATTTAACATTATTTAAATGGTATTGTTCAACATCATTTGTAAATATGCACTCATTTACTTGAGGATAGTTGTGTAAATTGATAAAATTTATTTATCAAATAAGGAAAAAGGATTTTATTTATGGACATTTTGTAAAAGAAAACAGACAGTTCTTTAGGGGGCAGACGAGAACATTTAAGAACAATTATGATCATTTTTCTTTTATTTTTAAATTGATAGCATACATTTATCAATAAAATTATGTTTATAAGTAGGAGTAAATCAAACCAGCAGTATGTAAAAACTATTCTTTTAAATAAATATCAAGCATACGGAATGCATTTCGTTGTGGGATTGGAAAAATTAATACTCCGAGGATTATTTGCAATATGTTTTAAATCAATTTACACTATGCAATTAAATTTCTGTAACGTTATGTATCATACTTCTCAAATGATTATTAGCAAACTGATTTAACATTTGAGCGGGTTTGGTTAAGAATGATTAATTAAGAACTTTGATTTTATTTACAAAATACTAATAATCATCAGTATAGAGTCCTTAGAAAAGAAAATCAATATAGAGTAATTGAATTGATTATATGTTCATAATAATGATTTGACATGTCTATGTGTTGCACCGAATGCTATCGATTACTAGATTAATCTTATTTGTTCTAGAGAATTTATCCTCCACTTTAAGTGCATGATTATGATGTTATTATTTTTATCTTTTTCATAGTATCACTTTAAGGTTTTTTTTGTCTTCTTAGTTATATATAAGCTAAGTTACACTATCAAAATATTGACATAGATCTATGAA